GATTATTTTATTTTTTTATTATTTTTATTATTTTTAATTATTATTATATTTATTTTTATAGTCGCCGATTGTCAACAATTATAGAAACGGGACGCAAGGTTCGAATAATCGTATCTCCTCTTCCCGAATTGTCCATTTTTGTGCGCACTCTCTGCTTGAATTAGCGAGAAATTATTGTATCCGAGCGTTGCATCTCGTTTTTAGAATTGTTGACAATCGGCGACTATAAAAATGAACCACGAGGCTCGTATAATCGTGTCTTCTGTTCCCGAATTGTCCATTTTTGTCTACAAGCTGAAGGAGAATCGGGGAGAATTTACTGCACAGTAATTTCTCCCTAATTCGCGTTCAGATTCCGCACAAAAATTGACAATTCTGGAAAAGGAGATTCGATTATTCGTGCCTTGCGCCTCGTTTTTACAATTATTAACAATCGGTGACTGTAAAAATGAATCACGAGGCCCGAATAATCGTGTCTCCTGTTCCCGAATTGTCCCATATCGATTCACAAGCTGAGGGAAAATTGGGGCAAATTTGCCGTGTCTCTCGAATCACCGAATTTCACTTCTCCAGTTTTTGTCCGATTTTGATCGATTCCTTTGAAGTTTTGAGCTTTAGCGTGCTCGATGAAATCCGGAGTGTTCGCCAATCAACATGGCGGCCGCCAGAGTTACGCGAGCCATTGAATTACTATCGAAATGAATTTTTATGCACCCGACCGAGCGTTCGTTCGTTCGATCTCTATCATCGTCGGCGGCTTTCGTCGACCATCAACCGAGCATTTCGCTAAAATTCATGCTAAAAACGCGTCGACTGGCCTCCATGACTACCTTTAAAAACAATCTTGGAAGTGTTGAAAGCTCCGCCGAAATTCTCCGCACTATAGTCTAAAAAAATCAATAGAATTACAAACAATGCCCAAAGACTATAAGAAGTTAAAAGTAGAATAATATAATGATATTAGACCGCAAATTTCATTCGCTGTTTTATTTAAAATAGAAAAGAAGAAGAAAAGAAACTGGTAAAAAGGAAAACTAAACTCGCGTTGCCAACAAAAATACTGTTTCAAAAATCATCGTTCGCTTCGCGTTTCGTTTAAAACGAAAGGAAAACTTGCGAAATCTGCGGTCCAATGATAATACTAACAACTGACATTGGCGCCGGCTGCCGGACAGCGGAATCTACGCGTCGCCGGTAATCGAATGCAATCGATGCAGTTCGATCGAATCGCGATCTTGGGTCAGGAATGCGCCATTGATCGGGCACGCGGATCGGATCGGCGTCAAACAACAGCACGAATACGGTAATGTCTCCGTGATTCGCGCTCAGATCGCGCACAAAAATGGACAATTTCGAAAGAGGATTATTCGAGCCTCGCGTCTCGTTTTTATAGTTACCGATTGTCAACAACCATAAAAACGAGCCTCGCGAGGCTCGAGTAATCGTGTCTCCTCTCCCTAAATTGTGCATTTTTATGCGCAATCTGAGCGCGAATTAGGGAGAAATTACTTTTGTAGCCGCTGTCCGGGACCGCGACAGGCTAATTAGCAATGAAATTATCATAATCGAATAACGATTTGAGCAGCGGCAGTAAAAATAGAACACGACGGAAGTGAAAGACAAAGGAACATCGTTCTGTTCGGTTCTCTCCTCGCCTTCGATTTCTCGTTGAAGCTTCGACGTTCGTTCAACTTAGAAAAATAATTTAACGAGTGATTCGCGCGAGCACTCGTCCACCACGCTCCGCCTATCACACGCTGTCATCTTAAGCCGTAAGACTTACATGGTAACGTTACACGTAACATTCCAATAAATAAATAAACGCTGGAACGAATTGTTTTACAAATAATTTCACCGGTGTTCGAACCACCGGAGGTTACCCAGTGGAACTCCTAATAAGGACTCGTGTCAGTGGCCTCCAGGAGAATCCTAATCGATTGTTGCGCAACATTTTAACAGAACCATAAACAATTATAAACGTTCTTTTCGTACTTAACACTAAATTTTGTATTTGGAAATTGCTGAAATTGTAAAGACTCTTCCACTGGAAATGACAGAATAAATTTCTTAATCCAAGTACAGTGAATTCTCCCTAATTGTAGATTGTTCCCAATTCTCGGATTGTAAAATGGACAATTTGGAAAGAGGAGGTACGATTATCCGAGCCTTGCGGCTCGTTTTTATATAGGGTGTCCTATAATTATGTTAACACCCGGAATGGGGTGATTCCTGAGGTCATTTGAAGCAACTTTTTCCTTAGCGAAAATGCAATCCGTAGCTTGGTTTACGAGTTATTAGCGAAAAACAGTGACCAATGGGAGGCGCTCTCGGCTGAGCGAGGCGGCCCAGCTAACGAGCGCACGAAGCACAGTTCCGCTCATTGGCGCGGCCGACTCGCGCCAGCTGATCTCGCCTCTCATTGGTCACCGTTTTTCGCTAATAACTCGTAAACCAAGCCGCGGATTGTATTTTCGCTCAGGAAAAAGTTTCTTCAAATGACCCCAGGAACCTCCAATTTCCAGATCGCGAGACATTTTAGGGACACCCTGTACACGCGTCGTAATAAAAATTGTGGAAGGTCCAAATAATTTCAGTCTCGTCATTCTTACAGAGCAACGCATATTCGTCGCTTTTAATGCTCGGTAGGATCAACGCTAATTTTCTCAAATATCGATGCTGTATTTTGTTAGAAAAATCCGATTATCAATTGTCTACTTATCCGAGTCGTGTTATCGAACGATCTTCCCAACAAATGCAGTTCAAATGGAAAAATTGTCGCGTTTAATGGTTGTTGTTGTTGTTGTTCTTTCCTGGCCCACTGACGATTGAAACAAACGAAAACAGAGCAAACCGAAAAACAACGGGGAACGGACGCCAATGGCCGACCGACAGTCCATTGTTTATCAATCGTTTATTAAGTTTCGGGCAGTCTAACCGCTCGCGCAAAAAAATAATTTCCTCTTCGATTCGTTTCGTTCTCTGTTTTTGCCCTGGATCGTTAAAATCGAATATGATTGTACTGGCGGAAATAAATAAATTCGACGTTTCGATTCGAACGAACAAGTTTTGGTCTCGCTTGAAGACGCTAACTTGGAACGGATTCCGCGCGCGCGCGCGTGCGCACGTCCAATAAAAATATGTACGCACTTCTCGCTAACGAATTCACGCGAAACAGGGTTGTTGTTCTCGAGAGTTTTCAGCGTTGCCTCGTCTTTTTAGTTTACTGCACCGTGATACGATCTTCGAACCACTTCGATCTGCGTTATTAACGCTACTTTGGTTTAAACTTTCGGCATTTTTCATTCTTTGACACGTTTCCGCAGTTTGGTTCTCGCTTCGAATCGAGTTACTCTTCCCCCTCCCACCCCCTCACGAGTCTTTTCATTTCAATTAATTAAATTAGTTTTTGTTAATTAAAGCAAATTTCAGCCGGTCCGTGCAGTTTCGATTTTAAAATGCAGTTGCCGCCCCCCGGCGGCCATATTGGAAAATACAGTCATCGTTAAAATACGTAAAAATAATACTATATGCAGTACAATATTTGCGTGAACACGATACTCTGTGTGTTGCGAAAATTATTTTCGATTAAAAGAACCTGCATCATCGACTCAAGTTACACTCGAGGATAATTATCGAAAATGTAATCAAAGGTGACGTAATAAAAATCGCGTAACTGCACTGAGAAAGCACGTATTTTTGTTCTATACGAGTTTGTAGAGACATTTTTGTATACGGATTTCTGCGAACCGTGTTTCTTTGTCTCACAAATCAACCAGCAATTATAAAAACGTATTGACCATCATTTCTGCAACTCCATGTTTTGCAAATATAAAATTCAGGACAATTTGTGCAGTATCGTTCAAAATTAAACTTTATTCGAATAACTTTTCGATGTAATATCTTATTTCTCACATAAATAATCATCTTCGACACATCTTTCATTAAGATTTTATTCCAGAAATATTTCGAATTAATTTTTGGATTAAGATTTTATTCCAAAAATATTTCGAATTAATTCTTCGATTTAGATTTTATTCCAGAAATATTTTGAGTCGATTCGACGAAGTAGTCTTTATTCCAGAAACTTTTCAAATTAATTCTTCGAATTAAATTTTCTTCCAGAAATATTTCGAATTAATTCTGCGATCAAGATTTCATTCCGGAAATATTTCGAATCAATATCCTTCGAATAATATTTTCTTCCAGAAAAATTAATTCTTCGAATAATATTTCCGTGAACTTTTATTCGAATAATGCCGAATTCTGTCCAAAATCAACGAAACTCTCCCGTCGCACCCTGTCGAATTTTGATCACCGCAGAATCGAAGCTGTTTTAAATTGTTAAAAGAGCTCGATTCTGCATCGCGAACTGCAAAAGCAAAGGTCGAGGGTGCAGAAGCAGCGGACGTTCCGCTGACAAATTCCGCGAATCGAAGTAGTTCGGCGCGATTATGCTTGCGAAAATAAATTCCTAGCAACTGTAAAGTAGTCGGAACTCGCCGGGAGTGGCGTTTCCGCGATATTCGTTCGTTCGATGCACAGAAATAAGGATAAAGAGATCGACAGAGATAAAGTGTGTGTGTGTGTGTGTGTGTGTGTGTGTGTGTGTGTGTGTGTGTGTGTGTGTGTG